AAGAAGGGCGACCTCCCAGCTACAGTGTAACTGAACGGTTCGTGCGGCTTCAATGTGCGAGCAAAAAAGCAGTGGAGTTCACATGCAGCAGTTTTAGTAATTATTTTCCTACTTGACTGGCCTGCTACTAGATGCTACTAGAAGTTCTCTCGATGACCTGAAGCTCTGATAAACTGATAATGAATGCCTTACCGGTGCTCAAGAATCAGGCAAATGCCGGGTGCGTTATGGCTTCAAGCCGACTCTCCCCGGGCAAGGTGGAATCTGAAGGCTGCTTCAGGATAACATTTGTATCGGAGCTTGCAGCGGCTTCTGGAACTCGGTGTTCCAAGAACAGACGTGAGCTGCTTCGACAAAGACAGTACAAAATCGCAAGCTTCGCACAAGGTGTAAAAAATGTCTCTGGCGGAATCTTGCTTCACCTCAAATACTTTTTGGGGCAACTGAGTGCTGTATGTGCAAAAGGTACAACTCAAAACTTAAGCAGATGTGATGATGAGCGCATGATGCCTCAGGTTTTGCTTTTCGAGCCCATCTCTGAGTCTGTTTGCACAGTTTCCAGCTCGGATCTCCACCAAATGATAGGCACGCTGCCTCTCCAGCCATGGAAGTGCGACCACCCTGATCATGATACTGCGTGTAGCAGAAAGTACATGACAGGCTTCCAGAATGGGCCGATGGCACACGTTCACAGGCTCGCTTCAAACAACAATTGCCCGAATAGAAAACTATCTGCTAAACAGAGAAAAACACACCTGCTGACTCTGCAGCAAGTTGTGGCAAGTGCCAGGACCCCGAAACCATCAATTGCGCGGTTTCAGCGTATGGTTCTAAACTTGCGGAAAACCGTCTTGTGAGCTTGTGGGTATGAGGACGGACATGTGCAGCTGCCGGCGCGATATCGAATTTGCTACAATCGGCACAAGCTGCTGGACCTTTCCCGACGCTGTCACAAGCCTGTCTCCCTGCGAGCTCACCTACCCAGTCAAGTGCATTATCGACAAGGCATGACTGACAAAGCTAAAAACTTCAACGGGAAGGAGTGGCACAGAAGCAATTTGATCCGATCTGTGTCTTCCACTCGCCTCTCACATCACTCATGCCTCCCACGAACGGATTGCAGAAACCAGCCGAGCCACAACACACGTGTCTAACGATATTCTAGCTGCTCAGCTTCCTTCTCTGGACACTATGCCAACCGCTTGCCAGTACAATCTTAAAGGCTCCTCAAACAAACCAGCTGCAGGGCGAAAGCTCAAAGCCAAACTGCAGTCCCTCAAGTGAAACCGCTGGAGGAGCAGTGCTCAAGCACATGGTTGGCGGCAGGTTCTTCATTGCAGTGGTTGCATGAACCGTTGCCAACATCTCTTCTGGGCCTGCTGCATTGTCTGACTTGGGAAAAACCACATGGGCAGACTCCAACACAAACGAGATCTCACTCAAACTGGAGCGCCGAGATTCTGCATCTCTGGAGTCTGTGGAGGCCTTCAGCGAACGGATTGGCATCCCGAGACCGGTCATCATGCCAATGTCTTCGAGTCCAGGTGGTGGGCGCAGGCCGGGACTGGACCCCCTGCTTGGCTCAAGGAGCGGGGCCAGCAAGTGGCGCTGTGTCTTCGTGTATCTGGCAGCTAATGACATCGGCCCGATGCTGGCACCTGCAATCAACAGCTGCCGTGTGGTCTGCTGATGCATGGCCGTAGGCACCCGTGTGACTTCTGCGGGCTTCATCAGGTTGTCCACGGAATGCACGAACCTGCAGGCCTCCCCGCGCTTGCAGGTGCCCGTCTTGGAGAACTCGAAGCAAGGCTTCGGGCTCGGGCGCAACTCCGCATTCTCGTGGGCAAAGGTGCAATCCGCC